AAAAAGTTGATCATCGAGGACACCCCTCTCGTCCTGGGGTGAAACAGAACTGCTCGGCACCCAACTGCGCGTATCATGCTGGCTAGACAATGCTGCCTTTAACTGCTTGAACTCACCTCATAGGAAGTAATGCCAGGGACTGCTTGAACAGCGGTGAGTTAGCTAACCAGAAAGCAAACGCGAGGTTTGGTGGAAACAATACTAACTCTCCTCTAGTCTCAAATATCTGATAATATTGGGAATGGTGATGCAAGGCATTAAAGAAAAACAAAGAGAGAAAATAAAATATATATATTAAAAATGCACATAATGATATTAAACTAGCAAAATGGCGGTGTTAGAACTTCATCACCATCTCACGCCTGTCATCCTAGCACTCTGGGAGGCCGAGGCGGCCAGATTGCTCGAGTCAGGAGTTCGAAACCAGCCTGAGCAAGAGCGAGACCCCGTCTCCTACTATAAATACGAAAAATTAATTGCCCAACTAATATATAATAGAAAATTAGCTGGGCGTCGGTGGCGCATGCCTGTAGCCCAGCTACTCGGGAGGCGAGGCAGGAGGATCGCTTGAGCCCAGGAGTCTGAGTTGCTGTGAGCAGGCTGACGCCACGGCACTCACTACTAGCCTGGCAACAAAGCGAGCTCTGCTCTCAAAAAAATAATAAAAATAAAAATAACTTCATCACCATATTCTTTCTTTAAAAACTCAATTCCTGAATTAACTGCAAAGATTTCCTTCAAAAGTGGAAAATAATTCTTCCTTTAACCTTCTCCCCTTTTAACCCCGACAGCAGCGCTTCCGGGAATGACAGACAAAACCGGAGCTCACCGGTCCACTGCCCTCGACACAGGAAATGAACTGAAATCCACAGAGGATCAGAGCATGGACTGAAGACAGAGCTATGTACATCTAGAATGAGAGGAAACTGTTAGTGCCTTTTAAACAATTAAATCTTTCTAGGAGCAATAGCTGAGGAACATTACGTTTACACTTCCATTTTATTTTTCAGGGAAAAAATGAGGGAAGCAATAAATTGCAGTAGTTGACATTTGCCTACCTGAGACCATATGGGACCAAGTAAAATAATTTTATAGAAGTATATGCAATAGAGAAACAAGCTCTAACATAGTTTAGGAAGACCCCTAGACGATGGTGATTTAAGGCATCTGACAGAGAATTAAACCACAGTGAACATCTGACATAATACAAGCGACACGTGTTAATCTGCTGGGGCTCTTTCCTACTAATGGTAGCACAGTACTATAATTCGAATCCTGGAGAAACAGCTGGAAAGACACTGGTCTGGTGTTAGAATAATATTTCCCTGCTTCCAGATAAGATATCTAGTTAAAGAATTTCTAACTCAATATAAGTCACTACAAAAATACTTTTTACTTACAGTGAAGAGCACAAAAAACCTCTGATTCTTTTCTCCTACACAATTGTTCACCCAGGGGCAGTGATGATCCATTTTCCGAATACATCTTTTGCAAATACTGAAAAGGAGAGTTTGATTTTGAAACCAGAGTAACAACCAAGGTGGAGGAAAATTAGAATGAATGTTCTGTAATAATACATACTCGCTATACCCTTTAAAGTTTATCATTTTCATCAATTGGAATATCTCATTTCCTAAGTAAAATGGACTAACAGGTTCGGGGCAAAGGTTACAAGTTATATTTCACAAGTTTCAGAGGCTCCCAGAAGAACTGGAGCGCGCAAACCTATCAATAATGTTCCGATTTGGCAATCTTACAAATTCTATTTAGAAAAAAAAATTTGAACTTTTGCCTTCAAATAAAGAAATTCTTGGCATCTTCAAATTATTCATCTCAAATCATCCAACTATCTATATATACACCCGCGCATAAAATCATGTTTTTATAGTTTTATTTTATTTTTTCCCCAAACATACCACATATCCAACTTTTTTTTTTTGACAGTCTCACTCTGTCACCCTGGATCGAGTGCTGTGGCATCATTATAGCTCACTGCAACCTCAAACTCCTGGGCTCCAGCGATCTGCTTGTCTCAACCTTCTGTGTAGCTGGGACTACAGGTGTGCACTACCACGCCCAGTTAATTTTTCTATTTTTAGTAGGGAGTCTTGATCTATCTCAACTGGTCTCAAACTGAGCTCAAGTGATCCTCCCACCTTGGCCTCCCACAGTACTGGGATTACAGATGTGAGACACCACGCTTGGCCTGTCTAATTTTAAATAACTAATTTGCCGTCAATTATTCTTTTAGAAATAGCTTGCACCATTTAATTACATCAAGTGAAACATCCGTGGCTGCAGATTTCTTCACTCCAGGTAGACCTTCTATAATAGTATCACCTTTTGTTCCCTGACTCAGGTTCTCTGCCTGACTTCTGCTGCACCCAACTTCCAAAACATTCCCATTTCATCTTTTTAAACAGATCTACTGAAGTATAATTTACGTACCATAAAAGTTCACCCACTTTAAATGTACTGCTCAATGATTTTTATTATAATTGTAGAGTTGAGAGACCATCACCATAGGAGTGACTGGGACGGCCCGGGCTGGCCACACGCCAGAAGAACCACACCGAAACACCACGACACGCAGGAAAACCACGGGGCCCAGGAGACTGTTTGAGAACTGTCAATTATTGTTACTTTATTTCATATAAAAGTTCATTGAAAGAAGAGGTTGAAAAGTCAAGTATACTTGATTCACACACTTGCAAGTCTCACAGGATTCAACCACTTCAATAATTTGTTTTTTATTGATAAACAGGATATACATATTAAAAGCCTCAAACGCGCCAACCAGACAACAGATGTGCAAATGAGTATGCAAAACAGTCTCTGAAACTCCGTCCTGCATCACCTGCGATGTGTTCTGCCCTCTGCTGCGACAGTCCGTCTTCCGCTGCGCGACGGATCCCCGTCAGAGCATCCTGCGGGCCCCTTCCCTCAGCCAGGGCTCGCGTGGTGTGAGTCCCTTGCGGTTGTGCGTGACGGTGGCAGGGCAGAGTGACCGACACAGAGGCAGGCAGTCGCAGCGAACAGAAGGCAAGAAGCTCGCAGGAGGGAGACACCCCACTTTCTTCAAGGAAACCCTCAGATTTCGTCACAGATTGTTTCTGGTGCGACGGCAAAAAATACAACCAGGCAAGTTTAAGGCAAGTCCGAGGAGGGGAGCTGTTTGCTTTCTGGCATAATTTTAGCTCCGCACCAAGGAGCCTATTTACCATCGAGCTGTGGGTGGAGAACACACGCGCGACAGGCTGGGCACCTGTACTGCGTGGTGTCAGCGCTGCCTGCGACCAGCGTGTGGAGTCACTCCTGCTGGGCCGGCTGCCTGTGGTCCCCCACCTTCCCAGCCAACCCGCCTCTGCCTGCCGCCCGCCAGCACCCCGCGCTGTGCAGCACGCCAGGCCACCGTGACACTCTGCTCTCCTCTCGCCGAGGAGCCATTTACACACTTCACGGGCTGGAAACAAACAAAAATCAGTTCCAAGGCCTAACGCACAAGATCTTTTAAAACAAAACTAAACGAAGGGGGCCACAAAGGCGCGCACAGGAATGATTGTTCTTTGGATCGAGATAGTTCCCAGATGCGATACATTCATGGTGACCCGCGGGCACCCGCGGCAGCTCCTCCTCTTCCCTGAAACTCGGCTTCAAAAAATAGCTTGTTTGCTGTACACAGCCGACACGTGTCACATCGTCTACACACACTGCCAGTTCACACACATGCACACAGCCCAACACGCACAGACACGGCGCACAAAACACTCGCTGGAAGGGCGGGGAGGTCCGGAAGCCGCCCCGCTGGTCAGCGCGCGGCTTCCTGCGACTTCAGTGCACAGCGTCAGAGCTGGTCGAGGCAAACGTCCTTCACGTGACGCCCTGCAGGGACCGCGGGCGGCACTCATGCCCCGGGGCGGCAGGAACTCCCTGGAGTGACGGTCTGAGAGTTCTTGTTCACTGGATTGACTTTGTTTTCTTCGTGATTGAAAAAAGCAGCTGTATACATAGGATTTAATAAACATGTAAATCCAAACAGCTTCTTCGAAAATGCAAAGTACTCTTTAACAAAAATCCTAACGGTGCAGGAAGGTGATGACATTTGGCTTGGTCACGTGGCCACACACCTTCCGTTGTGGTGCGGGTGAACACTGAGGACAGCTCGTCCAGTCTGGAAACCGCCGGCTGTGACTGTGAGTGCAGAAGACTCTGCTTGCTGCCAGCAACTGGCTCGCGCGGGTTCCACGTGCCTGCTGGTCAGAGGTGAGCTCTGGATACCCGTTCAGACCGGGTAAACAACTCAAGTCGCCAGAAGTTCAGCCTGATGGGCTCACACAGAGAACTCCGGGCCTCCTTTCCTGGGTCTCATTGGCAGGCGCGCTGAACTGGAAGCCGACGAGGGGTTCATCCAGAAGGAGCGAAGGGGCCCCCGAAGAGCAGACTTCATCCCTCCACCGAAGCCTCCGCTCCCACGTGGGCTTCTCACTCTTCAGCTCTCAATCTCCTGGAAGCAGAAAGAACGCAAGTGGCGGCAGCTCTAGGAACCTCGGCAGACACAGGTCGCGCCAGGTGGCTAAAACAGGGACACCACCCAACCTCAGAGCCCACTGCGTTCCAGAGCAGCGTGGCTCCCGGTGACTAGTAGGGTGGGCTTCTCCTCCCGGTCCCCACCTGCCCGGGTCCTCCGTGCACACGCGAGAGCTGCAAGAGACGGCCGGCTGCGCCCCTCCGGGCAGCCACCAGACAGCCCACAGGCCTCCAACCCGGGCGCCACGTTTTCGTTTAGTGTGTACTGGGTGCCTGCTCTGGCGCCACAGTGCCAGGGCACGAAGGCGTTCAGTTCCCGAGCTGCTCCGGGGGCCTGCCTGGCCTGCAGACCCGCGGTCAACCGACCCTTGAAATGCGCACCGTGGCATGCAGGAGCGCCAACGCGGGCCTGCGCTCGCTCATCAGGGCCGTCGGGCTAGTTCCCCGTTCACACGCAAGCACCTGTTGCTGACGTTAGGTTCCCGTGCACTCAAGCTTTGGCCACACAACGAGCAAACGGCGCACCGCGGCTACCGTCTCGTCGTTGCATATGGAGTGGATCTGGTGCCGGAATGACTGCGGTGAAGTGAAAAACAGAACACCCTCAAGGCACAGGAAGATCAACAGGATCACAGTTATTGGAGTGAAATCATGCATTCTGCGAACAAGGAAAGCCGGTTAGAACGGACGTCAGGGGCGTAATGAGCATCCAAACCGCGGGGCGCTGCGCAGAGGACCCCGTGCCAGCCCTCCGCCGCTTCCGTGAAAGGGACGCGTCCGGGAGTAGGGCACGCCCCTGCTTGCCAAGCAGCAGAGGGAGGGCGGCCTTCCGGTGCAGAAATCCACACCCCGTGTCCTGCCAGCAGTTTCGAAAGGTTCTGTGTCGCCGTGAGGTCCTGCTGACGCCGTGGTGTCTGTGTATTAAGTAATTGCTTATCATAGCGCACTCCGCGGATGAGAGAGAGTCAGGTGTATCTACACTGTGAAGTAGTCCTCACGGGAGGCCTCCTCTGTCCCTGGGGTGGCACGGGACCTATCGGCACCAACTGCGTATCTGTGGCTTAGACAATGCCTGCTTTTATACGTGCTTGAATTCACTCATAGGAAGTAATGCCAGGGACTGCTTTGAACAGCGGTGAGTTAGCTAACCAGAAAGAACGCGAGGTTTGGTGGAAACAATACTAACTTCCTCTAGTCTCAAATATCTGCATAATATTGGGAATGTGATGCAAGGCATTAAAGAAAAAAAGAGAAATAAAATATATATATCTAAAAATGCACATAATCGATATTAAACTAGCAAATGGCGGTGTTAGAACTTCATCACATGCTCACGCCTGTCATCCTAGCACTCTGGGAGGCCGAGGCGGCAGATTGCTCGAGTCAGGAGTTCGAAACCAGCCTGAGCAAGAGCGAGACCGCGTCTCCTACTATAAATAGAAAAATTAATGGCCAACTAAGTATATATAGAAAATAGCTGGGCGTCGGTGGCGCCATGCCTGTAGCCTCAGCTACTCGGGAGCCTGAGGCAGGAGGATCGCGTGAGCCCAGGAGTCTGGGTTGCTGTGAGCGGTAGGCTGACGACCACGGCACTCACTATAGCCTGGCAACAAGCGAGGCTCTGCTTCTCAAAAATATAAAAATAAAAATAACTTCATCACCATCATTCTTTCTTTAAAACTCAATTCCTGAATTAACTGCAAAGATTTCCTTCAAAAGTGGAAAATAAATTCTTCTTTAACTTCTCCCCTTTTAACCGACAGCAGCGCTTCCGGAATGACAGCAAAACGGAGCTCACCGGTCCACTGCCCTCGGACACAGGAAATGAACTGAAATCCACAGAGGATCAGAGCATGGACTGAAGACAGAGCTATGTACATCTAGAATGAGAGGAAATGGTTAGTGCCTTTAAACAATTAAATCTTTCTAGGAGCAATAGCTGAGAAACATTACGTTTACACTTCCATTTT